AGTAAAAAGAGTCAAAGGAGATGGGAAAATTAAAGCCAAATTTTAGCCAACTTTCTTAACCCACCCTTTAAATTGACTTAACAAAGTTTCAAAAAGGAAAAAAGAAAAAAAAAAAAAAACATTTTGCTCTAATCCTTTGTCGGCTTGTCAATCACCTTTTTCATCCTTCTGAAAAAAAACATTTAGCCAAAGAAAAAATTCTTGTGAAAAATTGTCATAACAAACTTTGGATTCGAATGAACCTAATTAGTCATGGTGCATTCTTACTCAGCTGGCAACCACGAGGCCTACAACATGAAATACATCAAAAACATGAATTGCACATGAAAAGTCTATTGTTTTTCAATATTGTCACATTATTAGTATTCAAGTAATATGAAAGATTTAACAGAATAATGTATTAAAGGAGGGACATCATGTGACGTTTCGGTTTAATCTATCACATATGGAGGATTAACGTAATTGACCCAAAAAAGAAAACAAACTTGAGGGGCAGATTGAAAAGAAAAATAAGTGTAGGAGCCGATTAAAGGTTCTTTCTTTTTTCGTACGGTAAACGTGCGTTTGTCATGGGTAATGGGATAGACACTGAGAGACGTGAGATCAGAGGAAGAATCGGTGTTCTTTTATCGGAAATGGTGAGTTGATTGACAGAATTACCCTCAGGTTTTCCCGAGGGAAACGGCTCCTTGAAATCCGGTTTTTGGAAATTGCATTTGCCTTTTTCTTTTTCTTTTTTTTTTTAATTACTTTTGCTTAAAGAAAAGAAAAAAAAAGGAAAATCGTTAGAATTATAAAATATTTTTTTAAAAAATTATGGTGTCCTTTTTCTCTTTTGGTTGGGAGAGTGCATGAGTGTTCACATGAATATTCTGTTCTTTTGGGGTTTGTTTAATGTTGATGATTGCATATTCGAGTATGGATATGTACACAAATGTTTTTGAGGAATGAATTTCGCAGTGCTTTTGTAATCGGGAGAAGGAATCATTGTCACGTTAGAAAATGGTTCAGGATAATTTTTTTTAATATAATTTTATATATTTATTTAAAATATATGATATTAAGTATATTTATTTATTTAATAATATATAAAAAATTCTTTCTATTTCATTATCTTTTAACATTTTAATTGTGAATATAAAAAATTTAACTAAAAATCCAGCCAAATTTTAATTTTTTTTAAACATAAGGAAATTTAAGTAAGAGATTGATTTTACAAAAATTAAACTTAAAATTTTAACATTGGTAAAGTGCACTTTATCCAACACAATTAGTGCTGCGGTGCCAACCAAATTTAATTTGATTGCTATTTAAATTAGGAAAATAATTCCTCGACGCTAGA